TATTTTCTTTAATTGGAATATAAAAAATAGTTTTCACAATCTGGAAACAATTTGAATTAATTTAATCATTACAATAACCGTGGTGATGCATCTATAGTTAATACTTTAATTATATTTGATAAAAGCTCGAGGGTATCAATGATATTTGATTCATTTTTGACACCATTAGTTTTCTTTGCAGTTTTAGAATACGGGGGAATAGGCCTTGTTTTTTGTAATTCATCAAAGATTTGGATACCAATGTAAGGTTCTTGAATCACAACAAACACAGTGAAATTACAATAACAACATTGAGAAGCTATATCTGTATTTGTTGAAATTATGGTATGGAGATGATGTAGATTATTTTCTTGATTAGCAATACACATGCCACGTTTAACATTCATTTGATTAATAGTCTTTTTTGTTGGTGCTTGTAATGATGATGTAGTCAATGTAAATCGTTTATGACACTTCTTGCATATTAAAACAGTTTCGGGCCCGTCAATAAAGTGCTTAGATAAAAAAAAATCGTGCACATGTTTTTTATCTCCCTCATAATGATGCAACGCGATAAGCCAAGAAGGCGGGGTCTTGGCACATCCAACAAATTCTGTCTCATTAGTAAAATGTGGGAAATGAGATAAGGCCAATTTGGTGTCTGGATAAAATAATTAATATTTGCGCAAAAATATTTAGCTATGAAAAATCATACTACCTTCTTTCATATGCATTCTTAATTTCGCCTATGTTGTCGATATAACTTATAAATCAGAAAATATTTTATCAGAAAGACAATGTTGAGAATTACAAAGGCTAGATTATCGTTATGGTAACAAATATTCAAGTATTTATGCAATTAGGTAACATGATACAGCTAATCGATCATATACGTAAGTATGATGAACATTCGCTTTAATTGGCTTATAAAATCCCGTGGAACTTTTAAAGTAGGTCTTGCTATAAAAAACCACATTAATTGCAACTTAAGGTTTCACCTAATAATGTTTAAGTTTTTCTTTGTAACTCTTCCAAATATCCTTTTAGCAAAAGGGAACGATAGGATGCATAAAGTGTTAAATCCAGTAAGATTAAAGTTAATTATTAATCAGAATTAAATGTTTTTTAGGGCAGACTGACATTTGGAATAAATTGACATTTTGAGCACAATATATATGAATCAAAAATTGTAATTTTATTTAGAGTACGGGTCATCTTTAACATTATTAATAATTAATGAATAATGAGTATTTTGGTAGTATATTGAATGCTGGCTAGTAAGGACATAAGACTTTGATTCGATGCTGGCAATACTTAGGATTATAAAATAAGTGTTAGTATACACAAAGTTTGGATAATATGAAGTAGAGATTTCCTTATTGGGTGGATCGATAAATAATATCAACCAAGTAAACTTGTATCTTAGTAATCTTTAAAGCTGCCTTACATTAGCTTATAGATTTGTATCAGGTAAGAAAGTGGCAATCAAGATCTTAAGGTAAAAACCGCTTTTCGTATATATTGTGAAAACTATAGTTGATGTCAAAATTATTGAACTGAATTGCAGCATGCCGAACTGTATTTAAGGATTGGAACAATCTAAAATTTTCCTAATCATTTAACCGTTTAATTCAACCGGTATTAAAATAATTCTTGCTTATGATAAACATAATCCTGCCCAGCCAGTATTTGAAGTTCAAATTTTTATTGGGAAGTTCTATTTTCACCTGGGTTAAAATCACCTGATAAACTATATATAATTTTATTTACGTAACTAAAATTAGGGGTTGTCTAAAGCGGAGCAGTTTCACGTGATATCTGATCAATCAAATTATAGAATTTTGATGATCGCCAGTAAAGCAAAACAAGAAATAAAAACGAAAAATCTGAAAAATACAAAAAACGGCAGTCTAAACCTACCTCAGGTAGGTTAATTAAAAATGTCGGGAAGGCAATTTGCTTATATATAACTACCTAAACCTAACCCAATATAAGATGACCCTAACCCTAAAGTTAATTCAATAAAATATATATTATAAGAATCTGCTCCGCTTTAGACATCCCCCTAAAATTATTAGTATTAGTAATATTTCGGGTGACATTAACCCGGGTGAAAATAAAATTTTATTGCACATTGCAACTAATTAAATAATTTTATTTGCAATATTTAAAAGGAATGCCTATTTCCACCATGCTTTTTACATGACTTTCAGCTACATAAGCATGATTTCATGGTGGTTCCCTAAAACGTATACTATTTTCAAATTGAAAATGACATAAGTCAATTAATAATTAACATAAATTGAGAAATAATGCATAACATTTTCACAATTTGACGTAATTTATCGTGACAATATGCTCGTCATGTTTATGTAGCTGAAAGTTATATGGAAAGCATGTAGCATGGTAAAAATAGCAAATATCCATGGTGGAAATAGGTGTTTCCTATTTAAAAACAAATATATTATATTATTACAAAAAAAATTAGTTGTGCAAAATAAATTAATTATAAAAAAAATAAGTATATAATATTGATTTTATATTAATAATAAATATTGCAAAATTGAAACTTTGAATAGTTTTTTTTAACAATCTTTTAGTCAACAACTTCAAAAAATTAAATTACAAAAAAATATTATAAAGATAGGTACAGCAAACATTGTTCTTGATTTTACTGGTAGTAGATTGTTGTTAATAAAGCTTAAAGCATGATATAATCAAGATGCAGGCATATTTAAATGATCTAGTATGAAATTTTGATATCCAAAATCTTAACAGACCACAATACTAATATTATGTAATATAACAATTAAAAATTTAAAGTCTGACAATGATTGTAGGACTGAAGCTAAAAATAGATAATATTAAAAATTTTTTATACTTTATTATAAAATTATAAAATTTTTTAGTATCTTTTTTATAGTTTTTTTTTTATAGTTAGGTTAGATTAGAGTGTAGTATTTATTAATAAAAAATATTAGTAGATTTTATAGATCTAAAAAAAACTCCAATTTTTAGTATAATCTATTTTTAGCTTCAGCTCTACAATAATTGTTAATATAATTATTAAGCTTTAAATATCAATTGTCATATCACATAATATCAGTATTATAGTCTATTAAGATTTTAAATATTAGTATTTCATGTTAAATCCTGTTTAAATAGTTTATCTTAAGATCAAATTTTCTTTTTATTAAACTTCTTAAGATATTTGATATCTAAACTAAAAGAATTTTTTAGAAATAAAAAGAATTAACTCTTGCTAAAATTTTAGAAGTTGAAGAATTAGTTTTATATAATTATAAAATTTATAAAATTAAATTTACAAAATTTTGTTAATTTTTTATTTTATTTTAAAAAATTTTGTTAAAAGTAGATATTTTAGTTTACCTTTTTTTAAAGATTAACATATAATTTTTTTAAAATAGTTAATATTATTTACTCTTAAATAAAGTATTTATAACTAGTTTGTAAATAAAAAACAGCACTATAAAATTATCAGTTTAGATTCTAAATTTTCTATTTTAGTATAGTTAAAGAAATTATTTTACAGAATTTTGTTTTATATATATTATTTAAATAGAGTTAAATATAGAAACTACTTTATTTAATAGTATATAATTTTAAAGATCTAATATAAGCTTTGTAAAAGTAGCTATTTAGGTTTATTTTGTTATTATTTTTTATTTTTTCTTTTATTTTTTTTATTCTTTTTAATATTAATTTTTTTTGTTTTTTATAAAAAATATAATTAATTTAGTGATATTTTATTGTAGATTGATAATTTTTAGATTTTTGAACTTATTATAACAAATTACTTATAGATGCTTTTAGAAGTAACTGAGATATTACAATTTATATATTTATTGTTATTTTTTTATTTATTAGCAGTTTTGCCAATATCTTTATTAGATCAAAGTATATATATATATATTAAACTATCTAAACTATAGATCTGATATCTCTTAGCTATTCTTAGAGATACCCAAGAGCAGTTTGCTATACTGGTTAAGATATTTGTTTGCACTAGATAGTTGCATCAAGCTAGTTAGCAAAACTATACCAAAATAGTTTCAATTTATTTATAATAAATTTTTAACTAACTTAAACCAAATACTCTTTTTCCTTTTTTTTTTTTCCTTTTTATTTTTCTCTATTTTTTCTTTTTTCTTAATTTTACTCTTGGTTTGGTCTTGGCTTTCAAAAACTTTCTCTGCAATCTCATATATTTGTTTTATATTAGTACTTGAATTTTCTGGTTTTGGCTTACTTTTTCTCTTTTATTTAATATTTATACCTTTTTTCTTTCCTATTTATTAATAGCTATACATTTTTGTTTCTATATATTTTTGTAAAAGTAATTCTATATCAGGTTTATTATAGTTTTTAAGTAGATCTTTGCTTTTTTAAAAAATTTTATAATATTAAGAATCTTTCTAAAAACCTCTTTCTAGATTAGACCTTTAAGAATATTAACTCTTGTTCTGTTTTTCTTTTCTCTTGATGGTTCTCAGAATAAGATTCTGAGATAGATTTTATTGAGCTAATTTTTTGCTTCTTTAGAGAAGACTACTCAAGCTAGATATGATATAGTTTGTTCTATTTCACTTTATTTTTACTTATATTTTTTATGATCTTGATTTTTTCTTTATTTTTTTTACAAATTTTACAATGAGAGTCTTTATATAAATCTG